GGCCGCCGCATATCCTTCTGACACATGCTGGCCTGGAATATGGAGTCGTACATGTTCGAGCCCGATTACTTTCTGCGCAGATCCTTTCCGTCCTGCGAGGAGGCGGAAATGAGCCAACTGTACATGAACAAATTAAACATAGTAAAACACGGCGGTTCCTCTAAAGAATTGGAGAAAAATCCGTTCATGGAATTGCTAGATGTGAATAACAACTCGCAGATTGTCGACGCGGATTAACGAACCTACCGCGATAATGGCGAGGCAAGATGACCGCACAATCGAAGTTCAGTGTTAAGATTGATACAAATAGTATGTAGATTTGAAGAGATTTGAACAAATAAAGAATGAAAAAAAATATGAAAAAAGCCTAAGTGTCAGTTAATTTTTGTGTCTCTTGACAACATATTGCGGAGTTTTTCACAAACTTACAAAAACGATAAGTTCGACATTTCTGGATTTTGTTGAAGAACGTAGGACGCCATGTAGAACGGTAACGAGTAAGTGATTCCGTTCTCGCGTCGTCGTTCTAATCGAAAGCTCCCTGTTGAGATAGGAGACTATAAAAGCCCCACATTTTGAAATCTCCTCACTTCACGAAAAAAAGTTTGCAAGAAAACATGACTGGAAAATTTGATACCAACCTTCTCTCAAACAGAGAAGACCTTCTGCCGTGCGAGCTGCTACCGGGCAGTCGCATCACCGAAGATTTCCTGTTCGCAGAGCCGATGACCGTGATGTGCGTCGAAGCAACTTCGAACGAGATACCCAACGACTCACTCATGAACTGCGAGTCTTACACGTACGTGTTGCTGCAGGTCATGTTTTGATTGGCTTCGCAGCTGCACTACAAGAACAAGCCGTACCGGTGCGTGTGCTCCTTGCTTGAACCGAGCGTGATAGTTCACGAGAACGCCAGAGGAGATGTGGATTTTGGACGCGTTTTCTGGCTCGTGTACCCCACCGAACTGAAAGATTGGTTCAGGCTTGCGGTTGTGGACATTATCATGGTGAGCCAAGGATACCTCCTTTGGAGAGACACGCTGAAGACGGACGTCAGCTACGACAAAATTTTGAGTTCGGAGCCCGAATACGAGGACGGAGATGAAGAGGCGACTGGCGGGAGAGCGAAAAAGAGAAAGAGACGAATCGATGGAACCAGTTCTTTGAGATACGCTTTCAAGAATTTTGATCCTATGTTCGGCGAGGGGACGTCCGACATGAAACAAAGTAAGGTTCATAGCCCGGTACCGTCTCTGCAGAGACTGGAAAACTTCGATCGCAGCATAGAGATGTACTTTCGCTATAGGGTTCCTGGTATTCCTAGAGGTCGCCTTCGTCCGACCGTCCGTGAGCGGGACGAGCCCGAAGCTTGGAGAGTACGCGCCGAACTGCTGTCGCCGAAGACTTTATTTGCATCGAAGAGGAGAAGAGATTACAGAAAAGAACTTACGCGTGAACTAATGGAAGACGAAGACGTCGCCATCGACATGGTCGCCAGCAAACGCGTCGTTGAACTCGACGAGCTGTTGGAATTCGATCGAGAGACCTTGACGCCGGAGACGGCCAAGTCTTTGGAGCAAATAGATCCGAGGGCCATAACGAAAGATTTGGAAGGTCGACGCATATCTTTTTGGCACATGGTGGCGTGGGAGCTGGAGTCGTGCATGTTCCAGCCCGACTGCTTTTTGCGCAGGCTCTTTCCGTCTTGCGTTACCGGCGAAAGATTGGGAGTGTCCGTCGCAGGAGATACCGACGACGAAGACGACGACGAGGCGGCGGCTGAAATCGACCAACTGTACGTGATCAACCGGAAGGAGCCGAGTCTAAGTATTCGGAAAAAATCCTACGATCGCCTTACTGTTAAAGACCTTTAGAAAAATGGGTTTGGCGCCTGACACCTTCTCCGATCCCAAACGTGCCAGACCCTTTTACAAGCTGTACTATCAGAAGCACGGCAACAACAACGCCCAGATGAGTAGAACGGTTCGACTTTCCTATACCGATAACTGGCGTGCGAAAATGGGTAGCGTGTACTGTCTGAACGGGAGAAAGTCAGCCGATGGCGGTTTCTACACGATTTACGCGTTTGGCAAGGGTGGAGACGACGTCGCCGACGTCGGCTACCGATACCACATGAACGTTATGGGTCGTGTAGATGAATTCACCGGAGTGTCTAACGCCATGGGCGAGCTCTGCTACATCCTCCTTTCGGGCATAAATCA